TATAAAATAATTATTATGTCCATTTTACAAACTGCACAGTGTACAAATAAAAATGATGCACATTAGATAATAGATAGATAGATAGATAGACAGATAGATATTATAAATAAAGAAGCTAAGGCTAAAGCAGTGTAAAATAATTTGCCCAGGCAGCACAGCTAGTTAATGAATGTGCTCTGATACTTGTACTACATCAGTGGTCTCCCTTAACCTTATTTAGAAACTAGACATTCTTCAGTTCAAAAGGTTTATATTTTTATTTCAGCAAATCATTTGATGAGTACCCATGCTGTACTTTTCCTATTCTAGAAAGTATCAAAATGTGTATCAAAGGACGAAAATATTGCCATTCTGATTTTCAAGGTCTTGCCTTGAAACAATTCTGAAATTCAGAATATATCTTAACTTTTTAAAGGTTTTTCTTATTTCTTAAGGATAGTACTACCTCTCCAACTTCGAATGTCCCTTCTTTCTCTATGGCACTTTACTACTGAAAAGCACCCTCAGTATAGTAAATAACTAAAAACATGGGCCATTTACACTTAAACAGATTCAACTCTGCAAGAGTTGGAAATAAGTTGCATTTTTGTGAATAGTAAATTTTCCAGGGAAAACAGTTTTCCAGCACTGATTTAGGATGTACTAAGATATAAATAATCATTTCAAGTGATGCCATGCACCTATCTGAAAAATCAGACTGATTTTAACCCACTCAGACTTTACAATTGGTAATACCATACACAGTAGGCATAAAATAAATGAGGAAGGAGAATAATGTTGTTATAACTTTCTCAGTGTTGAAAACAATTACCTGAGGCAGCACAGTGAAAACAGTCTTCAATTTTATACCAGGCTGAAGCTCATGTACTTGTAAAAGAAACTTTTTTCAGCAGAACTGTACCTAAATAAAGTTGTCAACAAGTTAACATTTTTATACTTTGCAGGCCTGAGCCTCGGGAATAAATGACTCAATAATATGCTGTATATTTTATCAGAAAAAAGTAATCATCCAAGAAAACTGAATGGCTCATGTGATATAATTATTAACAAAAATTAATTTTTTATTGAACTGAGAGGCCTGTGACTATACTCTGTAAATATGTCGTGTACTCTATTAAAAGCCCTAGTGAATTTATACAAGCTTAAATTTATATAATCAAGGCTGTTCCCACACACAGCCACTTGTGGATAAGTTTCTTGTTTGGGACATCCAAAAATTGCCTTTGTCAGTAAATAATAAAACCACAACTATTTAGCCTTCTATTATAAGGACTAGTTTAACTTAACCATATAATTAGGTTATACAACTTGAAAAACAGAAAATATAATGAGGCAAACTCTAGATGTGGCAAAATATAATTATTAAGAGCATAAGTTCTGGAGTCATGAGACCTGATTTGGAATTCCATAAATTAGAAGTTAGTATTAGCTGTGTGATTTTTATCTAGTTAATTAACCTATTTTTGTCTAACATGACTCAGGTGTATAATGATATTGTAATGGAACCTTCCTTATGAAATTGTTATGATTGTTGAATAAGACAGTGCATTAATATATTTGCATAGAAAATTTTTAATAAGTGTTAGTTGTCATCTTGTGGTCATCATCAACATTGAAGGAAAACAAGACTAAAACATTAAGGCTTTAAAATTGTTTTGTCTGTATGGAAACATAAGAGAGAAATTATCTCCCATGCTCACTGAATGTCAGAAATAGGAACTTAAAGATATTCACATCCACACCCCATTTTTTGGTATGAGGAAACAAGATCATGAAAATGACATGAGTCGTCCAATATCACAGAGCTAGCCAGGAGTAAGAACCCAAAATTCCGGACTCCAAGCTCAGGAATCTCTCGACCACATCATCACAACCACACCAACGCATCCCGGCCTTAAATTATATGGTTTTCAGAAATGTGGGTTTGTAGTACAGAACACACAAGAATCAAGCATGTTACTCTTCATTGCATTTGCTGATTTCAACATGAAAGATTTACATGCTATATAAAGATAAATACTTATATAAGTTATTATAAGGGAGGCTTGAATTCTTATTCCTGGAGTACCCTTAAAATTAAAACATCCTCTTCATTCATCCTCGAACATTTTTGTCACTTCCTATGGAACAGGCAATGCCTATTTGCAGAATGACTTAACTGCAATCTTGCCTCGAGCTAGATACCACTGAAAGGACCTTCTATCATCAAGATAATGTTCATTTGGGAACTGACTCACATTACCACATTCTATAGAATTGCAGGGGGGAAAATAGTCTTTTTAACAAGTTTCTGCAATCAGTAAAACACATAAACTTTCCACTCCCCTTATTTTTAAGAACTCTTACCCTTTACATAGGGATTAAGTTTATTTTTATTTATTTATTGTTATACAAAATAGTGGGTTTGCACCCTTATGCTCTGCCTTAATCCTTAATGCTGAAACTTTAATTCATGCTGGTCAACCACCCTTATCTCTAAGCCACCATCTTAATTTTTTAATTTTTGAAGCTATTTCATATATTCTGTAACATTTAGTGACGATTGTGTGAGAGAAGCCTCCTTTGTCTAGATGATCAATTCTAATAGTAAAAGCTCAAGTACAACTAGAAACAAGTATACTATAATCTGTGGAGTTAATGTACCAGCTTCCCAAATGTAAAATTAAAGAATTCCTTCATGTTAGAGCCAAACTAATTTTTTCACAAATATATTTGTCCTTTAAATATGGATATCAACTTTTGAATAAAGTAGCCCTGCCTATATTAGTACTAATAAATGTCTTAATGTGCAGTGTGAGTGCATGCATGCAAATGTATGTGCATGTGCTTATTTGGGTTAATATCTGCAAGTTTATAAAATTTATCAAAGTCTTTTATCATAAAAGGTACTTTACATGGCTAATAAGGTTCATCAGGTTTCATATGCTGGTGCCATCAGATTTGAATTGGCTAACAGGAAGAGAAAAATACCCTACAATTTATAGAATACCTACTAGGTACCAGCTGTGTATAGAAACTGTCTGTTTAGAATGTTACTAATGTTAACTCCAGCCTAAACAGGCCAAACAGTGTAAAGTAACCTCCAGTGGTGAGGAGGAAGATACATTGCTGGTGGATATATGATTGTGTCTTAGTTACTTTCTCCTCACTGAGACGCAATACCCAACACCTGCAAATTATATAGGAGAAACGGTTTATTTTAGCTGACAGGCTATTGAGGTTTCAGTCCATAGTGGCCTGGCACCAAGGCAAGGCAGCACGGCAGAGGGGCATGGTGCAGGCTTCCTCATGGCATGGCAGATATGATCCAATTATCTCTCATAATCCAGTCACTTCCCAAAGTGACAAAAGTAACTGATCACTTATGAGTGCAGTAGGCCTTGGTGGGGGACATCTGACGTAAACCATAACAAATTGGCAAAACCATTTGGAAAATCAATTGGTCATTATCTGTTAAAATGAATAATGCACAGAATCTATGCCCTAGGAATCTTCCTTTTTGTGGGCCTCTAAAGAAACACATTGCCCAAGGATGTTCACTGTAGCATAGTCAAAAATCTGGAAATAATTTAAACCTTGATTAGTACTGAAATAAATAAACAAGCTACCAAACACACCACACTACTATTTTAAAATCATGATCTGACATATATTTAGTATATAATACAGCGATACAAACTTGTAGAATAAAAATCAATAAATATCAGTATCAGTATTTTTGTGTAAAGATTAACTGAGAGGAAGAGTTATTTCTAAGCAAGTGATTTGAGTGGAGGGAGGATAGTTAAGGGAAGGCTTTTACTTTGCCTATGTAAAGGTTTATTTTAAGAATGTACTAACATGTTACATACGCAAAGAGCACTCCTTTCTTTTTTGTCTCCCTAAAACTGTACTTCTTGGATCCATGGACCAAACTCATGATTGTATTTATAACCACTTTCCTAAACTGAAGGACATGTACCTATCTTTTTTACAACCTTTAATTCTCTGCATCTGAGAAATTCTCCTTGGCTGCCAGCAAAAAATCTAGGGACATATTCAAAATTTCCTAGGGATACTCAACCTGCAGTACTGCTGTTGATCTTAAAGGAGCGGGAGAATGGAAATGTTACAAATTAGGCAACAACAAAATAAATAGCATGCAGAACATCTAACAGCCTGAATAAATGCAGTGTCCTGTTTTAAGAAAAGATTTTATTTGCACTATAGCTGTGCTCCTATATTAGTCTGTCAATGTTTCCCTTGCAAATGAATGATTCTGATATTTAATAATTATTCTCTTTTAAAGAAAATTTATTTTTATCTTTGTGGGGAAATATCTTGCATTCATTTCAATCAACTGTAAATTATAGTAAGGTATGAAGAGATTGAGTAGTGCCATCAACTCTGCACACTAATAAAATTATACAAGTTTGATGATTTGGTGAAAGATAGAAACAATGCCAAAAGAATCAATAATATGATCTCTTTATCTAGCAATTATTAGAAATTGAATTCTTTTACTTCTATGGATCGTTTTTTAAACACCAGAGTCTACTCTTTGGAATTTAACTATTATCAGATGTGAAAAATCATAATTAAAATGCAAGTTGATATAATCTAAGGGCAACAGTTCTAGTCCTATACCGGTCTGAGAAGTTTTATATTAAATGTTTTTATTTCATAAAAAATGCGTTTTGTTAATCGCAGGCATACAATAGCATTGGCGTGTATGTTAGCATAGTTCTCAAGGAAGAAGAGGAACAATCTAGCTATACAAAGAGGATATATTGCTGTGAAAGTGTTCTAAAATTATTTTATCACTGGATTACTTGCAAGGGGACAAAGGAATCCAAGAATGCATTCTTGGAAAGATGGATATCATTTAAGAAAGCCTAATGTAATGTTCTTATTCCTAGTAAGTTTATTATAAAAAATAAAGGAAATAATACCTTGGGAACTTAAGAATTTCCAAGGACACTGCTCAGCAATAATTTTTGAACCTTGTTTTCCCTCAACAGGAACTCCATTCTCCAACTCTGAAAATCTCAACTTGTGCACCAAACAATTTATATATAACCCAAAATACTGAACAGGTAAAAGAAATTATGGATTACATTAGTTTTTTTATGTAAGTCTTGCTTATATGTTTGAACAATATTTAGGCCATCATAAGACTATTCATGAAATGTGAGAACCTTGAAGCAAAAAGGGAGATTCTGACATATAAGAATCAGCTCAGCGTATTAAAGGAATGTAAAATGAGTTCTATGAGTCTGATTTTTCATTTTCATTTGTACTCAATTTAATTGCTTTTAGTTTGTGTGTAGTTTAATTGTAGCCAAGAATTTTTTTAATGAATGTGAATATTTTTTTTTCCTGGATTTGAAGAGAAACTCTTGCATGGAGTGAGGCAATGGCTTATTGAGTGATAGTATTTTACGTTTTCTCTTGGAGAGAATAATTCCTAAGGTCAAGAACAGCCCTTCTCATAGGTTCATGATTTAAAAGGCACGCAAAGATCTTCATAGCCTAATAATTCCACCTTTACTATCTTCTTGAATTTAGGAAGTGTGTCCAAAAAGTATCTATAATGGTAAATAAATAGTATGTCAAGGAATATTTGTTTAATTAGCTAGTTTCCATATATCAAAAGGTAAATTCGCTTAAAACATGCAAAGTTTTGTGGCAGGATAGTATAGGGTGTTTAGAATTTAGAGGGTAGGAGGAAGAAATGATTCTGTTTTAAGAAAACAGTCTCTCCCAGATAAGATGCCATGGTGTGAACTTGGATAGTGAGGAAATAGATGGACAAAATCTGGTCTCTAGACCTTGAGCACCACAAGAGAAAGGTGAAATTATACAGAATGAATATGATAATTATCAAAGAAAGCTTTTTACGCATTTCCAATTTGGCCTATGCTATATCTGGGCCAGTTAGAATCATGCAAGCATTTACTGAGTGCCAAGTTTATGCCAGTATTACACAAAGGTAAATTAGGTCTATTCACTATTTTCAAAGACTTCACAGACTAACATGGGTTGCTTACATGATAAACCATACAACAGTGGAATAAAGCTTACCGTTGACTTAGAAATGAAGCCTTGGAAGGGGCTGGGGATTTAGCTCAGTGGCAAAAGCGCCTGCCTGGCAAGCACAAGGTCGTGAGTTCGGTTCCCGGTACCAGAAAAAAAAAAAAAAAAAAAAAAAAAAAAAAAGAAATGAAGCCTTGGAAGATTACCAAGGCAGAATTGCCTCAGAAAACTAAGTCCAGTTAAACTATATTTCATTACACTCAAATCTAACCAGAAAATTGTGTTAACTGTGTTATTTTTATAAGGAAACGTTTTTCATTTGAATTTTCAAAATATTTAATTTTTTATAGAATGGTTATTTTGGAAAATTTACATCTATAAGAGACTATCAAGATATAATAATAAAAATCACTCAATTCCCTTCTCACTGAGATAATAAGAAATATTTTATTGTGTTTTCTTCTATTCAGAAACAAAATCAAGTTCATACATATGCAGTTTTATATCTTCATTTTCTCACTTAAACTTACATAATATAAGCTATTTCATGTAAATTTCTATTACTCAAGATCATTGTTTAACAGCTATGTATTTCAGCTTCTATGTGGTAATTTTTCACCCTCTGTACATTTGTCAGCATTATAACTTTAACTGTTTTCAGTAAATATTTTTATTAGCTCTGATTCCTAGTTTGGTGGAACACTTTTTAAGTTTATTAACCATTTGCTTTTCTTCATTTAAAATTGTGTATGCCATATGCTCATTTTCTATTAGTGTAAATAGTTCTCTCATTGATGTAAAGAAACTTTTCTCTACTAATGATATTTACTTTTTCCACTAACACTTTACAAATGACCTAGTTTGCATGTTTTGTATACATTTCAATTTTACCTTTGGCCCTTCTCTGCCAACACACTGAAGATTTAAATGTTTAAGTGCATACACACATACATGTACACATTTTTTTCTTTGTATCCTCCATTTTAAAATGTAGAGTTCTTTTGAAACTAAGTATTTAATAAAGTACATTAAGCTATCATTTTTCTAACCATATGGTGGCACTTACAATTAAAAATATTTTTAAAATCTCATCAAATATAGTTCAAAAATGTGGTGAATTACTATGAATTAGTATAATATAAAAATAGCTGGTGTGGTGCTCAGCACACAACACATACTTTTGCAAATGTTTCCAAGACTGAAATTAACTGAATTATAAAATCATAATCATCCTTCCTGCAAATGATTAACTTTCACTCTAAAAATTGTTCTCTATTATTATTATTATTGATGGCTGCAAGATCACTAGCTATGATTATAGGTATTTTTTATCTTTTGTTAATAGGAACTCCATTCTCCAACAGTGAAAGTCATTACATATCCACAAACCAATATTAGGAGATACATAGTACAAAATCCTGAGCAGGTAAGATATTACATGAACTCTTTCCAACATATAATTTCTTAGAAGTTGGTAGCTTAAACTGGAAGAGTGCCTAAATTATTAGATTATTAAAATCAGATTATTGGACTTTTCTTCTACTTATAAAGTAGATTTCTAATCACTAGTATCAAAGACATCATGTTTAATTTCAAACAACCATGCACCCATCCGTTCTGACTCAGACATAACTGTAGTTCCAAGCACCTAGGACATTTGTATGTTATAAACGCTTTCTTTTTTTTTAGACAGCCCCTTGCACTACAGAACATTTTTACACACCTTGACCAAAAGCAAAGTGACAAAGAATTTTCACAGGCTTTCCATAAACATTCTATCAATTGTTATATCAGAGGTTGCAGTTTTTAGTCTATTTGGATTAGCCTTAGAGTTATGCATTAGGAAATAAAAAGTAATAGTCATACGTAAAAACTCTCTTCATGCTTTTGTTGCCTATTGTATACACTTATATTCCTAGCAATAAGGTGATTAGAAAATTACATTGTTATATTTCTTACTAAGGTATACAACCTTATATTTCACTAAAATAGAACATTGCTGTCTCATTTTGAATATAGAATTGAGAAAACTCTTTTTTGCCCACAGTAATAAAACCTTCTTAGTGTACATATTCACTCATAATTTCTCTCTCTCTCTTTCTCCCTCCCCCTCTCTCTCTCTCTCTCTCAATTTAAGCTACACCAGGGAGTTCTATAACACTAAAAGAATTATCAGTTTCACAATTAAAAACAGTAATTCAGATAGAAATATAATAATTCTTTGCTTTGTTCTTTATTTTATTTTTCCATTATTGTGGTAAACAGTTATCCACTCTACTTCAAAGTGAAATAATTTGCTTGTATTGTGGAAAGCAAATGATGACATTAGGGCACCATTCCAGTGACTAATCTAGGTGTGTGGGGAGAATGTGCCGGTGTACTACAAGTGTCTATTGCTCTATCCCTTTTTATTTTAAAATAATGTTTTAATGTCTGCTTAGCTAGGGAAGGCTGCCAGTTGTTCATGTATAGCTAAGTGAACCTGTGTGCACACAAGCTCGGAGTAGAAGGATAATTGCTTTGGACATTTCTGTGAGTTTTCATAAATACATGTGTCTTAGTAATTTTCTAGTTGCTATGATACAATATCCAGCACCACAATTTAAAGGAGGAAAGATTTATTTTTGCTCTCATCTCAGTCCATTGTTAACTGGTTCCAAGACAGGATGATATGGCAGAAAAGAGCTGCACATGGCATGGTGGACAGGAAGCAGAGAGCATCAAGAGATGAATCAGAAAAGGAAATAAAACCTTTTAGGTCATGCTTACAGTGATCTACCTCTTTCAACTGGGACCCATCTCCCAGTAGCAAGTCAGCTATAGTGTGCCTATAGTCCCAACACTTTCCAAAAGTACGACCTGTGGTCTCAAGAATCTTTTAGCAGAACATGTAGATATAAATCATAACATTCTGCCCTGGCCTCGAAAGACTTAAGCACACCTCTTCAGGCAAGTTCCATTTATTCCATCTCTAGCAGTTGCCAAAGTTCTAACAGTTTCAGCACTGTGAAAAGTCCACGTCCAAAGTCTCTTCTGAGATTTAAGACAAACTATTACTTGTCATCCCCTATAAAACTCAAAAAGAAAGTTAAATACTGCCTACATACAATGACACAGGACAAACATTCCCGTTCCAAAAGGGAGGAGCAGGGGGAAAAGGAAATCAGACCAAAGCAAGACCAGAACCCAGCAGAGCAAACATTACATTCTGTTGCTCTTTGTTGACAAACTAAGGCAAGTTGTAGCCATGAGATGTGAACTCCAAAGGGCTTGGGTGGCTGTGCCCCTATGGCATTGCTGGTGATTGTACACTTCATGACTTCTCCTTTGGGCTGGGTTTGCATACTCCTTGTGGCTTCCCTCAGACAATCCATGCTTCTGGTTTCTCCAATATGCTGGGGTCTCCACTGCCCATTGGCTTCACTCTCACAACTTCATGCACTACCTTCTCAGGGGCATACTGGCTGGCCCACAGGCCTTCTGAAATCTAGGTGAAAGCCTTCCTGATATCACAACTCTTGTATTCTGTACGTCTGCATTCTGCAACACTATGTGGACAATTCCGGTGTCTACTGCCAACTTGAGCAGTAGCTAGGGACCCTTGTAGCATGGCTACAAAGTTCTGCAAGTGCCTTGATAGCTGAGGTATGTGAACTGAATCCCAAATTTCCTATGTGGCCCTTTTTAAGCACAGTGCCCGGGGGCTCTCTTCTAAAAGCAAAGTCTTGCTCTTTCACATATTTGAGTTTCACAGGGTAGGGCCTTTCTAGTTCCTCGTGTGCCCTGAAGTCATCTTTCTTATTATCCTTTTGTAAAGTACTTGCCTTCTTTTTATTGCTAATACTTTCAGCAACCAAGCTTTCCTCTTCTGAGTCTTTGCTGGTACTTCCTGCCAAAACCAGAAATTTTTTAAATAAGCATTTCGCTGCTGTTTCCCATAGTAGATCTTTCTAAAAGCAGCAAACAATAACATTGTTATCACCTTAAGGTTGGGCTGCTTTGAAATTTCCTCTGCCAGACTAATTGGTTTGCTGCCTTTTATCCCAGTCTCCTACAAAGTCTCAGGACATGAGAAAAATGTAGACAAATATTCTGCCAGTAAATATCACACTTGGGCTGAAGTCCAATTGCCAGTGGAGTGCTTGTTCCCAACCGAAACCTCCTTAGCCCAGTCTTTACCATGTGCATTTCTAACAGCATTCTGGTCTTCTTGAGCTTTGATGAAAATTTCCCATCAGCCTCAGCCTACAACACTGTAGGGCTTTCTCTCCAATATCTCCATACCTTTTGAATTTTCTCCTACTTCCAAAGGTTTCTGAACCACATGGTCAGACAACATCACAGTAATCACCTCACATCTCTGGTACCAAAATCTGTCTTAATCACTTTATCATTGCTGAGCCACTATATCTGACACCTACAACTTAAAGCAAGATTTATTTTTGCTCACATTCCAGTCCAGTCAGCTGGCTTCATAGTTTGATATGCCACAGGGGCATGGTGAAGGACAGCTGCTCACTGCATGGTAGGAAAGAAGCAGAGAACAGGAAGGAAGGAAAGAGTTGAGCAGGGAGATATAACCTTCTAAGTCATGCCCACCATGACCCATCACTTTTGATCAGGTCCCATCTCCTAGCAGCAAATCACCTCTAATGTTCCTACAGCCTAATCACTATCCAGAGGTCCCACCTATGATCCCATGAGGCTTCAGGGAGACATTTAGATATAAACCATACACCATGGAAAAATAGAAAGGTGACCCCCTGACAAATAAAACAGTTCTTTCTTTTGCTACAGCAGTAAGAATTTAAGCAACAAATCTGAAATGTGTGGAGGGGTGTATGTGGAGACAAGAAGGGCCTGTGAGAATGTAGTGTATCTCTTTTTCTTGTTTGACCAATTGCTTTATGTTTTCTTCATCTTCTTTCCCCTCTCCTTTGTTCTTTCACATACGAAATGAAGGATGTGCATACTAAGGTGCACGACCTACTTCATATCTCGGGCTTTCAAATAGTTAATTCTAATATAGCACTTTTATTCAAAATGTAAAACTTACCCTGCCTGTCTAGGATATACTGAGAAACATTAAACATCAAATCATTTGGATTTCAATCCACTTTGTCAGCAAGTCTTGTGACTTTGGATGTGTCTTTATTCTTTAAGAGGAAAAATTAATATATATTGGTTATATATCCCATGCTAGGCAATTTATATATTGCATCCCATTTAATCCTTTTTAGAAAGGTGGGAAAACAAACGTACAGGGACATTTAGTCATATATTCAATGAATATTTATCACCTGTCTACTATACTAGTCAACCTTTTATGGGTTGGACCGAATACCTTACATATACAATTTAAAGGAAAAATGCTTATTTGAATTTCAGAAGCTTCCATCCATAGTTCACTGGCTCCAAGGTAGAAATGCCATAGTAGAAAGTACATGCTCAACACAGGGCAGCCAGGAAGCCAAGTGAAAGAGGTAAAACCCAAGAAGAGACTCACTCCTCAAAGGCATGCCCCCCAGTGACCACTTTCTCCAAAAGGACCATGTGTGTTAATAACCCATTCAGCTAAGAACAGGATGTTAGTGCCTTCATGATCCATCCACCACTCTAGGTCCCCAGCTCTGAACATTGCTGCATGAGGGATAAAGTCCTCGATTCATGAATCTTTGGGGGATATTTAATATTTAAGCCATAATACCTACTCTGCACCACATTTTTCCATAAGAACAGAGGTAAGAGCAATGAACAAAATTAAGGTCCCAAAATTCTCAAAATTTAAATTCTTCGCTGGTGAAAAAATTCAGTTCCAAAATGACAGAATTGGTACTGAATTGAACACAGCTGGGAGGAAAAAAATATAAATTAAAGATAATTGAGGATAGAGGTGAATTAGTTACCAAATACTTACCCACATATACTTTTATCCACCGTGTAATTACAAAGGCCAGGAAATTGCAAGTGTATTTGAAAGTAAATGACATATTTGAAGCACTGGGCTTGCCTCTGTAAGAACTCATTATTGTGGGCTGTGTTCCACCACAAACAGAAGAACTTCTCAGGAAAATCCAGCAGAATATTGAGGAAAATTAGGCGTTTTACAGCTTTTAATTCTTTCACTGAGGAATAAGACAAATTTTAAGCCTTATGTTTTGTTAAGAAAAAAATAACATAACTGCTTTACCAATGTAACTAGAAAAGTCTGCCTACATGTATTTCTTTTCTAAGGGTATTCTTTCTTTCTTTGCTTGTTATTTTTTTTTCTTTTAAATCCACCTAGGGAAAGATGCTAGTTTAATTATATTTATTATCAGTTGGATCTCTTAAATAGCAATTTTTCCCTTTCACCTCTCAGCTTCTCAAATCTTTTTTTCTTCTCCCTGTAATTAAATTGATCTTAAGCTACTACTCTCCTTATGA